GTCTTTCAATGTTAGTCTTAATAACAGCTCAGTCGAAAAGAAGATAAGGAAAAAAAGGGGGGGGGGGATGGGGTTGTGTCTATTTTCGGCGTGAATAGGGTGGGGTGACAGATTTCTCATTGCATTCTCCCTTTGATGTATGTAAATCTGTGTGAAGGCGTTAACCTACGCTTTCAGATGGTCGGAAGTCGCAGTGGTTAAACGCGTGTTGGCCCACCCTAAAGTTTTAGGTTCAAATCTGCAGGGAGCTGGGATTTGTAATTGACACGAGTGTCCCATGTGGGCCTAGTGTTAATCGGGTACCTGAAAATGACAAGCTAGACGCTGTAAGGGTCAACTGGGAGCGAGTGAACAGTGCTGAGGCACAAACAGATCATAACAGTCTGAGGAGAATAGCGCTGCGAGGAGTTACCATGGGATCTGGCTGACGCTCAACACTCAGGGAGAAGGATGAGATGGATATACAATCAGAGGGTTACTGGTGCCATCGGAACTGAAACTCTTCGCTTGCTGCTGAAGATAGGGACAGAACGCTTATAGGAATGGGTACAACTTACGTATACAGGCCTAGGCTCCCCCCACTTACACACTAGGTCATCTTTTTTCATACTTTGTTAGGCTCGTAAACTTTACTAAATGTGACAGGGGTGTCTCGGTGTACTGTTTAGTTCAAAAAGCTTTCTCCGTTATCTTCACCGCGTGTTGTATATTCCAGAATATAAACGCTTTAAACAATCACAAAACATGCAGAACTGGCCCTCACTCAAACTGCCCTACGAGAGTAGCTGCAACTTATGTCCCACGCATTCTCTTTCTCTGAATGAAAACGCAAATAAAAGACAACGCAGAAAACCTTTCGAGCAAACAGTAAACCGGGACACCCCTGTAATCCTTGAGCAAAGTTCACGAGCCTGACCAGGCACCAATCAAAAGTGACCTAGTGTGTAAGTGGGCGGAGCCTGGGCCCACATTTGTGACTTGATTCCTAGAAATGAGTGCTGTGATGTCAGGCCTTAATTCAACATTGAACTTCGCGTGTAACAGAAATGTAACGTTCGGTATGCCCTATTCCGCGTTATGTTACCACGCATCTCAGACTGTCCAAAGTATAAAAAAATCATGGCAACTACAAAAACATCGCAACCACAAACATCAACAAAGTCCCCAAACACAGCAGTACCTTGACCTTTCGACCGTCTGGTGTTGTTTCCTCAAACTCCTCCCCGATCTTAAAGGAGACCTCGACCTTGGTCAGCGCCGAACTTGTGGTTATGCGCCACACCCCGTCGACGATGGAGATTTCCACGGTTGGTTTCGCTTGGTTTCCTATTAAACGCTTTGCCATCCCAACCCCTGCAAATAGCATACAATGTACAGTGTACTGTTAGTCTTTAAACATTCAGAAAGCAATGACAAACTAGTAAACGTGCAATTTTCCTAGAAAAATCACAGCAGCCAAAAACAAAAAAATGTTTGGTTTGACTCTGCAACGTCCTATAAAAGATGGGCAACTATTTTAACTGCCAGTCTTTGTGTATGAGTCGGCTCTGTGGCTAAGTCGATGCGAAAGCTTCGTAATGCCGGGATGCCGGGTTCGATCCCAGCTGCGGGCCATGCGCCTTGCGTTAGTTTCGACAGTGGTATCAAGAAAGCCGACTGTCCAGGAAGCAATGGCAAACTACTGGACATAAATTTGCCTAGAAAAAAACACACACACAACATCCAGGGGCTGTTAGGGTTGGTTCTGCAACGTCCTGTAAAGGATACGCAACTAACCTTTGTGTATGAAAGCAAATCAGGGACAGTCACCCATGGTGGCATCTTTCCCAGAGGACAATAGCACGAGAGGAAGAGAGCGAAGAGTTTATAACCAGTGTACTATGGGAACAGTTAGCATCTACATCTTAACACGTTTGCTGCCGGAGACGCAGCACCTATGGGTATGCCCGGTTTGCTATGATATGGATTCTTGAATCAGTAAATCAGACGACAGTGTTCCCCTGGGTCTATATGAGGACACGGGAATCACAACCAATGGCGATGGGGGGCTGTGATTAACAAGACCTGCTCGCCCTAAGAAGAATTCGTCTACAGCAATGTTTCCCAAATTATTCTTAGTCGCTGCGCTTTGTGTGTGTGTGTGTGTGTGTGTGTGTGTGTGTGTGTGTGTGTGTGTGTGTGTGTGTGTGTGTGTGTGTGTGTGTGTGTGTGTGTATTTAAATGTTTCCACGGCGCCCTAACCAAAGTAAAAGTATGACTGCCTTCAATAAACTGTCCAACATCTGGAAATCAAAGACACTTAGCAAAGACACAAAACTCAAGATCTTCAATTCTTGTGTGATTCCAGTACTAACCTATGGATGCGAGAGCTGGAAATCAACGAAAACTCTAGACACAAAATTAGACAGTTTCGAAAATAAATGCCTTAGAAGAATACTAAATTTCAAATGGTCAGATTTCCGAACCAATGCACAAATAAGGCAATAATCCAGGCAAGAGTATGTGTCTAATTTTATACGAAAACGCCGCTGGAACTATGTCGGCCACGCCTTTAGAATGGATAAATCAAGACTTCCTTGCCAAGCCCTCATTTGGACACCGCAGGGGAAAAGATCTCGTGGAAGAGCAAGGTTACCCTACGTAGAACAATCATCAGGGAAGGCTCGCTCATGGGCCACTCAAACATCCAAGACCTACAACAGATTGCAACGAACCGCCATGCATGGAGAGTCATGACCTCTGCCCTATGTGCCGCACTCGACATAAGAGGAAAGACTAACTAACTAACTAACTAACTCGTATGTGAGAGAAATTAAATAAAATAAATTAAAGTAAAACACATACACACTTGTGTATCTTCAAATATTTCAGGGCACCCCTGTCTAGATATCGCGGCTACCCGGAGCCCCGCGGTGCACAGTTTGGAAATCACTGGTCTACAACATGTGCATGCAATTTCAGGATCTTTTATTGTTATCACTGTATCTGAAATGTCAGAGGTGAAGAACCGCCTCTCCAAAGCTCTCAATGTTTTATAGACCTTACAGTAGCCCAGGCAGCATGATCTTCGTGTACCCTTCAACCCCCACCAGGACTGTAAAACGAGCGACCAACATCCGGCGACACAAAGTGCCACCATTCGGATGAGAATCTCCCGGGGACAGGTCCAAAAAACCCGTTCAACCATTAGGTTATATTAGGGCCCCCAACTACAGTCGGAATCGGGCTTTAAAATAACGAAAAATTGCGTCCCACTTTTGTCTCGGTCTGCATTTTTACCTTCAACGGAAAGGTAACACCAGTACGATTGGAGAAGGGCGTGCCACAGAAGCTGCCAAATTAAAAAAGCAGTGCTCTATCGGCCAAATTAAATTAGTTAAATGAAAAATAATTTTAAAAAGTATACAGAAGTGCAAAAGTTTGAGTTTGCAGACAAATAGTGGGATTACCATGGACAGGTAAATAACGTAACACGGATCACCCACTCCATAAAAAAAAACTTTGTTAGTCAAGCTGTGAGAAGAAAGGCCGATGTTCACCATTCTAAAGTTTTAGGAGAAGAGAGGCCGTTGGAGACCAAGAAAGATAAAGACAGTTTTGAAACAGGACGTGAAAGAACATCTTGTGTCAGAAACGACTGACAGCTCATGAGACAAAAGGCTGTGTCTAGTTATGATTACTAACGTCACACGGCATGGACTTATAAGAAATGTAAAGTATTCGTATGTGCTTTTACGGATATACTTTTCATTATTTGTTGTATTAATGGTAGTTGCTGTCTCCATGTAGGATGCCATTTTTAGTTATTTTGAAGTCCCACTCTGGCTTTTGCCGTGGGCCCATAATATAGCAGGGCCTGAAATAGTGCCTAACGTTTGAACTAGGTTTCCGAAACCTTTCCATGGGTGATCCTCATCCGCATGGTGGCACTTTGTGTCACCAAGTGCTTATCGCTTGTGTGATGTTCTGGTGGGGTACAACCTACATACATACATACTTGTATTAAAATTTCAACCATAATATATTCCTATTATCCACATATTTAAAAGGCGTATATATTTTAAAGTTTTGTGAGATAAGCTGGTGTAATTTAAAACAGTGAGGGCCTCAAGGCTTTATATAGCTGAAGGCCTCATCAGCTCTAAATCCGGCCCTGCCAATCAGCCTTCAGTGGGTTATGCGCTTAGCCTCACACTGACAGCCTTTACTTCCCATTACATTACCCAGTATCCATTTTAAGCTGGATGGATTTTAGAACCAAAGTCAGTTTTGAAGTGGACGAACAACTAGAACTTTTCACCAGAGTTGGTGAACGCAAAGAAGAAGAAGAAGAAGAAGAAGAAGAAGAAGAAGAAGAAGAAGAAGAAGAAGAAGAAGAAGAAGAAGAAGAAGAAGAAGAAGAAGAAGAAGAAGAAGAAGAAGAAGAAGAAGAAGAAGAAGAAGAAGAAGAAAAAGAAGAAGAAAAGAGAAAGAAGAGAAGAAGAAGAAGAAGAAGAAGAAGAAGAAGAAGAAGAAGAAGAAGAAGAAGAAGAAGAAGAAGAAGAAGAAGAAAGAAGAAGAAGAAAGAAGAAGAAGAAGAAGAAAAAGAAAAGAAAAAAGAAGAAAGAAGAAGAAAGAAAGAAAAGAAGAAGAAGAAGAAGAAAGAAGAAGAAGAAGAAGAAGAAGAAGAAGAAGAAGAAGAAGAAGAAGAAGAAGAAGAAGAAGAAGAAGAAGAAGAAGAAGAAGAAAAGAAGAAGAAGAAGAAGAAGAAAGAAGAAGAAGAAGAAAAAGAAAAGAGAAGAGAAGAAGAAGAAGAAAGGAAGAAAAAAGAAGAAGAAAGAAGAAGAAGAAGAAAGAAGAAGAAGAAAGTAGAAGAAGAAAAAAGAAAGAAGAAGAAGAAGAAGAAGAAGAAGAAGAAGAAGAAAGAAGAAGAAGAAGAAGAAGAAGAAGAAGAAGAAGAAGAAGAAGAAGAAGAAGAAGAAGAAGAAGAAGAAGAAGAAGAAGAAGAAGAAGAAGAAGAAGAAGAAGAAGAAGAAGAAGAAGAAGAAGAAAGAGGAGAAAAGAGAAAGAAGAAGAAGAAGAAAAAGAAGTTCTGAAGGAAAAAAACCATCGTCTCATTGCAGATTTGAACTCAAGACCTTCTGGCCAGCAGTCGAATGTCTAGCCGTTACGCTAGCGACACTCCTCTTACTTCATTCATAAAAACACAGTTCTAAAGCAGCGGTTCTAAAAAAATATTTCGCGGCACATCTACAGTTAAAGCGGTAAAAACAGTGCACATATAATGTTCAGTTGTCTTTGATGCAATAAATGACTCTGTTCGAATTAATTGTTAATATTTCCTTTATGTATATTGGACGTTTTTTTAAATTTTACTCTCAGATCACTTGACCCAGTAAGTTTGCTTCTGTATCTTTTTAAAAAAATATTTTTTAATGTAGCGTAAGTTGAGAATGCACCACGGCATGGCCAATAGCATTGTCTTTTGAATACACGTGCATTCAGAACTTTTCTTAGCTTCCTTTATTGCAATTCTGTTTTAAACTGCTGTCTTCGTTGATCTCAAGCAGATTTTGAAAAATTCTTGATTACTGCCGCGGTACCCCTGGCATACGCTCGCGGCACCCCTGGCTGCGGCAGGCACCCAGTTTGAGAACCACTGTTCTAAGGCCTTCATTCTTTTAATCGCGTACACTTCGACACCCAATGTTTACTCTAGCTTTTATGGGTTGTGCAAGTGCAGTATACACAAGTACATGACGCTCTTCTGTGACTGGAGTGTGTTGCATATTGTGGCCAGGCAAGAGCACCATGCAAGAAGCCAAAGAAGAATTAAAAAATAAAACACAGCGTCAAATTGGTGTCGTCACTTAACCTGTGGGATTTATTCAGGAGGAGATCCGGGCAATTGCAGAAGAAATGGTTCGGAAGATGATCTCTCAACTGGCTGACTGACTAACTAGCTAACTAACTAATTCACTCACTAACTAAAAAACTAACTAACTAACTAACTAACTAACTAACTAACTAACTAACTAACTAACTAACTAACTAACTAACTAACTAACTAACTAACTAACTAACTAACTAACTAACTAACTAACTAACTAACTAACTAACTAACTAACTGACTGACTGACTGACTGACTGGCTGGCTAGCTAACTAACTAACAAACTAACTAATTAATTAGATAAAAAAACTTCCTAACTATTCAACTGGTTAACTAACTAACTAATTAACTAACTATTTAACTGAATAACTAACTCACGAACGAGCTAACTAGCTAGCTAGCTAACTAACTAACTAGCTAACTAACTCTTTAACTGATTAACTAACTCCCGAACGAACGAACTAACTAGTCAGCTAACTAGTTAACGATTCAACTGGTTAACTAACTAACTAACTAACTATCTAACGTAGCCCACTTACAATACAGTTTTTGTTGAGGGGAAAGTGGAGGGGGGGGGGGGGGGTAAAGGTGTCTGATGCGTCTTTCATTCTCCTGGTTTATTGTTAAGTCGGTACCGTTTCCATAACGAAGGTTGGCTAGAGTGACCATTGTTGTAGTATAGTCATTAAAAAAAATATCATGTTCAATCCCTAGGGTTATAATTGCGACATAAAGTGCTAATTGGGTTCTCAGAGTATGTATTTGTTTTTTTTTTTTAATGTATGTATATATATATATTATTTAGCCAAAATGCAGTTTGCTTTGTTTCATATTTTGCTTTGATTTGCTTTGGGATTATGATAGAAATTGTACTACCCAAAATTAGACAATTTTACTAACATTGTGTCATTAACATGGTGGATATATTGTTTCTTTAGAATCTTCTTCTTCTTCTTCTTCTTCTTCTTCTTCTTCTTCTTCTTCTTCTTCTTCTTCTTCTTCTTCTTCTTCTTCTTCGCGTTCACATTTTGTAAACTCCAGCGGAAGGTTCTGATTGTTCGTCCACTTCAGGACTCTAATCATGTTCCAGAAAGTAAGTGTTGAGTGTACATCAGTTTCACAGATCTGACTCAAATGAATGCAAATTGTTGGTTCCTTGCCTCTTAGGCAGATGTTCTCCGACTACGAAAGTAGTTCCTAATTAGTCGACTCTTACGTGGAGGCAGTGGGTCTATTCTTGTTTTGCCCCCCACAATGGGGCCCCGGAACCCACACACGGAATTTCCTTAGTAAGCAATCACTCATTATTTTCTTTGATTTTATCTTTAGGAAAAACTTTTTCAAAGATGCCATGTGCATTCTTTACCTTTTTACATCACTGTTGTCTTAGGATTAATTCGTAGCGAGGCGCTATTTCTTCCACAATGTGACTCTCGTACCATTGTGCGAAAACAATGTGAACGGGTTTTTAAACGTCCACTGCGAGAAAAGAACTCCCACTACTCGTAAGATCATGAAATTATTTACATGCTAGATAAAGGATTGTCTACCTACCGACAGCTTTCATATACTCGTCAAAATTCTCGGAACTTTGTAATTCCCATTTTCCGGGTGCAAGTTCGGCCGCCAT